CCTTACTACACTCCTGAAGCTCTCGTTGGTCATCATCTCTCTGTATGGGATGAGCATGCTAGTGTACCTCCCAGGGATTTTGAACGACATGTGTGAGACAGCCTTAAAAACTGCAGCAAGCATCTGTTCACTCATGCAGCCCCGTGCAAATATTGCAATCATTGAACAAATTTCCTGCACCCTCAGTACAATTAGCCTCCTTATTCCTTTCTGAGTAGTAGAAAGATAAGCCACAAGAGAGAACGAAGGAATGTAAGCAGACTTAGTGAGACCTGGCCACAAGCAAATGTCTGTGTCCTGGGTTCACTCAAACTGCAGAGCAAGGAAATCCTTACCCCATGGTGGCTGTGAAGGTGGCTGAAGTTCTCTGGACTTTCACCAGGACAGGGCTCCTCAGGATCCTTCCCTGATGCTCTGCTCTCTTCTGGACTTTCTCACCAACTGGACTCTCAGATAGAACTGGGAAACAGCTCTATAAAGGGAGGTGTGGTGTTGCACACAACAGTAGGAAACTGAAACTGGAAAGTGAAACTAAAGCCTTCAGGTTTCTCGTTTGTGAAACTGTGGACAACCAGGGATTTTCCTTCTTGCTCTCTCCTCTGAACTGATGGGGAGAAGGATCTGGAATAGACAGACATGTCAGTTTCACTGTCTGTCCAGAGAGAGACATCCCTGCACCAGGAGATGCTGTTCCTAAAGGGTTGATGGAGGCGATGGGAACATAAAGGACCAGACTGCCATCTTCCTAATACAATTGTTTCTCAATCAAAAGAACTGAAGTTCTACACTGTCTCCTTGGAAGTGAGCCCATAGTCATGTGGATTTGATGGGAGGGAAAAAGGGAAGTTTAGGGATAGCAGAGTCCATCTGCAGGTCTGTTCCCCTGCAGTCTGGAAGTGGTTCATACCACTTGCTTTGCTGTCTGACTTTCCTTATGAACTTCTGGAGGTGCATCATTTACATCCACATCCCTCTGCAGAACTTCTCAGTTCACCTTAGACTTTAGGAGTTAACCCTTTGTTAACCAGGTCAATATTCCAGAGCCTCGAGCCATGAAGTCTTGCTTTGTGTTTATTGTTCTGAGATGTTTGTTTGTAAAGGGTTCTTGTCACTAGTCACAGCCCCATAAACAAAAATAAACACTTTGTAGAGTGCTGTATTCACAGCCTTGATGCTATCCTGTCCTAAAGGCTAAGAAGAGCAGTCTTGGAAAGTGCAGAAGGTGGAATTCAGACTGGTTCAGGTCTAGGTCAAGTATGTTAGTTTAGTATCTTGGTTTCCTTGGTTAATCTGTTTTCTCAGCCCTACTGAGGTCTACTTCCTTAGCCCGGCCATGGATCCCTGTCTCCTCAAATACAGCTCATCCTACAGTCCTCCAAACATAATAAAGTCATTGAAAGGAATTTAAATATCTACCTCCCTCTCCTGTTGGGTCCCTAGAGGACAGGCCTTCGTACTCCCACTTGATCTGTTTTGCACTCTTGCACTTGGTTAAAAATAGGAACAAAAACTGGAACAACCTGTTGTTTTCAGCAGTGTTTCTAAGGATGTTTACCACTAAGCCATTGAGTTATGGTGATGAGCTTCCTGCTTTTGCTGTCTTAGCCTCCCCTGCTGAGGGCTATACATACTGTGTGAGAAAGTGGAATAAAGGCTTGTCTGCAGAACCTGAAGTTGTGTTGCATGTTAATGCTGACGTCCCATGCTCAGAAGAAGGACAGTTGCCCTGCTGGCGCAGCACTCTCCCTTTGATAACATTTATTCTCTCCTGAAAGTTTTCCCTGACCAGAGAGTTTCATTCCTAAACTTCAATCAGTGGACAACAAAAGGGGAAGGGGCTCTTTGGACATTTTCCCCGATGACGTTTAATTTTGAAGAACCTGGAGGTGTGAGTCAGTGAGCTGGCTAGGTATATGTCACAGAGTTAAAATGCTTGCTATCATTCCTGCCTCCACCTGGTTTTAGTTCCCAGAATCCATCATCAAAATAGAACTAAATCTGGGGCAGGTGGGGGAGTTGTACTGTGATCTTCATACAAATGTCTTGGCATGTTTGTTTGCCAAAACACTCAGCCACAGAGCTAATGAGGAACTTGCCTATCTCCATTTTGAATACTGTACCCATAATGCTCTATTCTTATGGAATACAATAAGTTTCCATTTACTGTAAGTGTTTTTTTTAGTTATTTCAATTTTATTTAGGTGATACTTAACAATCACATTCATTTCTGAATTTGCATTTAATATGGTATATATAACAAGAGCTGACATGAACGTAACATTTAGCGAAATGTGTTTGAAATCTTACTGTCTCTGCACATGTGAGGCTGAAGACAAGGAATGCCAGGAATTTGAAGGCAACTGTAGCTACACAGTGAATTTGAGGCCAACATGGACTGCAAAGCACGATTTTGTCTTAGCAAAGCAATAGCAACAGTAACAATAGCAACAACTCCCACAAAACTAAAACAATAACAAAAAATGATGAATTAAATAGTAGCCTCTAAAAAGTAATATGCACCAAAAAATAAATGAGATTATGTGTTTAAGAAAAAATATGAAGAAAGGATAACATTAAATATGATAGCTATCATGGCAAAGAAAACAATCGCATAAAATACAGTAAGCATATTTCTAATATAGTAACACATATTAATGAAAAGATTTTTCCCATGAAAACTTACATGTAAAGAATTATCCCTAAAGTGAAGTTGTGTAATATTAGTGTTTACATTTATAAAAACTTTAAAATAGCTTATTCTCTTGGTATTTTATTTTGTAAAATGTTTATATAAATGATTATCTACAAAATGCTGAATTAAAACCTGATGTTTAGTTAACAGAAAAATAGCTTGAATCACTATACTGTAAGTGTTGAGTTGCAGTTTTTAAGTCTGCTTTGTGGAGCCCTACCTGCCCCAATGCATGACCTTGGCTTGTTTTTGACAATTCCTTTACTATTTCTAAACTTCTCAAGCCACCCTCTCTAATCACTTGGTGACCACAAGATGTGTTCTGAGATGTTTCTTCATTTCCTTATTGCCCCATGGTTGGTGTTTTGTCTTTTTGGTTTTTTGTCTTTTTTTAAAAGCAGACCTGCCTTGCAACTACTGGTGATTTTATTCCTTAAAAGGACCACAAGAAATGAATTTGGGGCAGCTCGCTTTAGCATGACTTTGGAGGTAGTAACTAGCCAGCTCTTGGGTACACCTCATTAAAATCAAGCTTGCTCCAATTTGACTCAAATTGTGGTGATGGTCTTATTCTCACATGTAGGTTTATCAATTTCTGGGGGCACCAGAGAGATTCAGACCACTTGCCTAAATTCTCAACCTGAACATTTGCTCTGGAATTCTAGGCTGCTTCAGGAGACATCTGCTTTAAGACAGACGAAGGTTATGAGGTTGCCCTTGGTTTGCCAGGCTATCAGAGTGAACTACCACATTGGGTACCAATTAGTTTTCAGAGGCTGTTCATTCGCTTCCAAGTTACCTAGAATTCCGAAGTAATCACACAGAAATCTGTATTGATTGCAATACTGTTTGGCCAATAGCTTAAGCATATTTCTAACTAACTCTTACATCTTAAATCAACCCATCTCTAATAATCTGTGCATCACCATGAGGTTGTGTCCTACCAGCAAAGTTCTGGAATCTGTCTCCTATGGCAGCGGCTACATATCTTTTCCCTCACTCCGACTTTTTTCTCCAAGCATTCAGTTTAGTTTTTCTACCTAGCTCAATTCTGCTAGGCCAATAGCCGAAACAGCTATATTCATTTACCAATAAAAACAACACATATACAGAAAGACCTCCCACATCAAACCCCTAAGCTGAGATAAGCAGCAAGCTTCTAAGGAGGCCTCCTGGTGAGTCAGTCTAGTTCTGTTTCATGAGATCCCTATCTGGGACATCTAGGGGGTTCATCAGGGTGCCAGTATTCTCCATTCCAGGGCAAAAATGTGAGACTTTATGCTCCCTGTCTGAGGTTCTTTGTCTGGCTTTATATCCTGTTTGTTTGACTTTTTATGTCTTTGGTTTCATTTACTCTCTTCTTTCAGTCTTTTGTACTTTTTGTGTTAATTGGTTTATCTTGAACTTGGGGTGTAGGAGAGTGTGAATAAATGAATTCTACATTAACTCAGAATTAAGTACAATAAGAGTTCTTTATTTAAGGGGAGCTCACAGATAACAGTCCTCTGTATGAACAGGGGACAGGAACTGAATCCAGCATCCAGGCAAGAGAGGAGAGAGAGAGGTCATATGAGTACTCACATTTTTGGTATCCAAGGTCATGCCCAATCTGGTTCAGTCTTTCAAAGGCCATTGACTGAAGGATGTTTCCGTGCACCTCCCAGTTTTGTCTAAATAAGAGAGTTCCATACTCAACACAAAACTATATGCAATAAGAACAAAAATAAAGTATAAACATTAGAATTACAACCAGCATAAACAATATTAAGCAAGAAACATATGCTAAATGTTTCAATAATCATTCTGTTCTAAGAAGCTTGTCTTATATTAGAAATGGTTTGTCTAAATCATAAGAGAAAAGTAACAATGGTTATCTAGTTTTTCAACCCAATCGAAGACATGAGAAGGGAGAAAATATTATTGAAGTAGGCAGGAATTGCAATCAAGCAGCTTCCAAAATGTGCAATAAATGACAGAGATAACTGGCTACCTGGGTAATCACTCAAAGTCTCATTTGCAACATTGTAGTAACCAACTTTGACTAAGTAAGGGACAGATTGTTTTCAGAGGCACAAAAATTTCCAAAACCATCTTAGCCTGTCTTTGCGTGGTTTGACAGTCTTTTTTCTTGTATCCTGCTTATCAAGTCCAGGAATCATACACTTTGTCAGTGCATATTTCTACATATTGGGAATCAATAATTATTGAGAGGTTCTTTAAAATTCCTTAGTACCATGAGAATAGCATACAATTCTGCCTTTTGTTCAGAATTATAAGGGCTTTTTTCACCTTACTTAAATCTTCTGATTTGTAACCTGCTTTTCCCGATTTATTTGCATCAGTATATAACTATGGGCTCCAGTTATTGGTGTGTCATGTACAATTCAGGAAAGAATCCAAGTAGTTCTCTTTGTAAGGTTAATTCTATTACTTTTGGAATAAGTACTATTAAGCCCTCCTTTAAAAAAAAAGATAGGGCAAGCTCTTCTCCAGGGTCCACTGTCTTTCTACAATTTTTTAATTTCATCAGAAGTAAAAGGCATTATAATCTGTGCCAGGTCAATTCCTTCTAGTTGACAAAGTCTCAGTTTTCCTTTTATAATTAATTCAGAGACCTTTTTCACATAAGTTTTCATTTTTTCCATGGTTTATGGGGCAAAAAAGATCCATTCTAAGATAATATCTTCCCTCTGCATTAAAATTCCTGTAGGGGAAATTCTGGAAGGCAATATAACTAGAATGCAATTAAGATTTGGATGCTTCTTACCCACATATGCCTCCTGTAATTTCTCTTCAATCACAGTTAATTCTTTCTCAGCTTTAGCTGTTAATTTCCTGGGATTATTTAAGACTTTGTCATCATCTATAAATTGGTGTAAATGAATTATTATATTAGGTGTTATCCCAACAGCCGGTCATAGTCTGGAAATGTCTCCTAACAATTTTTGGATATCATAAAGAGTCCACAATTGGTCTTTCCTGATTTGCGCCTTTTGTGTTCTAATTTTCTGTAAACCTATTTTATAATCTAGGTAATTGACAGAATCTCCTCTTTGTATATTTTCAAGAGCAATTGTAATCCCCATTTAGACAAAACTTTCTTTACTTCTTTAAACATTCTTTCTAAGGAATCTGCGTTTGAATCAGATCAAAAAATGTTATCCATGTAATGGTAAATTATAGATTTAGGAAATTGTTTATATATTATTTTCAATGGCTGACTTACAAAGTATTGGCATAAGGTGAAGGCTATTGAGCATTCCCTGTGGGAGGACAGTCTATTGATAACTCCTAGTAGGCTGAGAATTATTATAAGTAGGCACTGTGAAGGCATACTCTTCTCTGTCCTTTTCTTGTAAAGGTATAGTGAAGAAACAATCTTTTAAATCAATAGCTATGAGAGGCCATCCTTTAGATAATAGGAAAGGCAAAGGAATTCCAGATTGTGGAGGGCCCATAGGTTGAATTACCTTGTTGGCAGCTCTTAGATCTGTCATCATTCTCTTTTTTACCAGATTTCTTTTTAACAACAAATATAGAAGAATTCCAAGAGCTGGTTGATTCTTCAATATGGTGAGCATCTAGTTGCTCCTGTACCATCTGTCCTAAAGCCTGCAGTTTATCTGCTGTAAAAGGCCATATTTTAACCATATTGTTTCTCAGTTAACTATTGTAAAAGTGGGGCTGTTGGTACCTCTAAATGTTTGCTAGTTACTTTGTGTTCTTCTACAGAATGAATGACTGGTGACCTTTGTTTATAGTTCCTTATAATTTCCTTCCCAGAATCAGGAATTCTTGGGACTGCAGAAATGTTAATCTGGGTATTCCATTGCTAAAATATGTTACAATCCCATAAATTTATTGTGATAATAGCCTCATATGGCCTCAGATTTCCTCTCTGTCCTTCTTGTCCTATGAATTCAATCCATCTCATGCTTTGTTTCACTTAAGCTAGAGTTCTAAATTGAACATCTGCCTCTTAAAGAGGCTAATTTGGATGCCATGATTCTTGATTAATGAAAGTCACATCCACACCTCAATTACAATGTTATTTATAAGTATTGTTAGCTTTGGTCTTTGATCATTTACAGAAATATGCCAAAATATACATTTCCTATTTCCAACTAGAGCATTTGATTCATCCTCTATGTCTATTTTATCAGCCAGAATAGTATTTTTACTTTTTTTTACAGAAGACACTAGATATTTTAACTTTTCTGGTGAGATATGTTCTCCACAGTGACTGGGAAAGACTATATTTGACATGACAGTCTACAAGAGAACCTCCCCCAAGGAATTTCACAAAATGGTATCAGGTTGCCTTATCTGTCTTTTGTTGGTCTACATTCATTGGTCCAGCATTGGCTTTTGCCACATCTTCTTCATAGTTCAAAAGATTGAGACCTTCTAATTTTGCCATTCCTGAGAAGATATTATTTCTAGGAATTCCTTGCCTACAATACCTTCTCAGATGTCCTGTTCTACCGCAATTAAAACACTTGGCCTTTTGATGTCTCATACCATTGGAAATTGCTTCTCCTACCCAAGCCTCAGTATGATTATCAAATGTCTCAACATTCATTGTATGCAGGATTCATTCATCCGTTGGTACTAATCTGACCTTTAAAGGCCCGAGTACCTTTCTGCATTCTAAGTTGATGTTTTCAAAAGTCAGAGATTCAATAAGTACTCATCTAGCCTCTGGCTCTGTTACTCCTATTTGTATAGCCTTAGTTAATCTTTGTAAAAGTCACTAAAGGATTCTCTCTGACCTTGTTTAACCCTAATATATGATTCAATTCTTTTTTCTATTCTTGAATCCTGTCCTAAACATTTAAGGTTGCTGCATGACATAGGTACAAGGTGTTTTGATTTCATTGTATTGAACCTGATCCCGTGGCCATGACTAATAGCCCTCACCAAAAATTTGATCTTGGGAAGCCTCAAATTCCTTTGTTTTTCCTTGTTGTTCTAAAATTTTTGTGTCTTCTCACTAGTAGCATTTCCATAGTAGCTGGGGTTCATCTTAAATAACTGTTGGAACTAATTGAAGCCAATAGTGTGGGATAGCCTTATTGCTGGAAGCCCATGTTTTCACCATTTCCCTAGCAAATGGTGGATGCGAGACATAAGATGCTATTGCTTGCTTAATTTCATTTAGATTGTTCTTATTTATAGGTTGCCATTTACATTCTTTGAACCCTTTTGGGTGTTCAGTACTGAGTGACTCATCAGAGGGGATTACAGGGATGTAACTAAAACCCAGGGTAAGTCATTCCTGACTCTGACATGTACTAGTGAGACTAAATCCTGTCTTTGTACCTTCTCTCCCTGATCACCAGTGCTGATAATTTCCTCAACTGTTTCAAATCTTTTTAGCACAAACTTTTGTGAAGTCTGAGGTTTTTAACCTGCATATAGTTCTAGTGTTTTGACTGAGACACCTAGCCTCTGGTCCTTATTCTGTACATATGATTCCAAAGTATAAAATTTTTTCCGGTAAAGACAATGTCTCATTCTTGGACATTATTAGGATGGTGTGCAGCTTGCCTTCCTGGAGAAATACCCTATCTGTTAACCTATCATATCTTTTTAACAGATTGTGATTGTTAAATTGAGCAGTATGAATTCTTTCAGATAATTTCTAAGCACCGTTTGACATGGATTGAATTTGGTCTGTCAAAGTAATGTTATCCTTTTTAATAATATTAATTTTTCAGCTAGCTGTTGATTACTATTCTGTAAAGACTGTATCATCTATAAAAGTGCTTATTCTTGGCTCTGTTATCAAAGCTATAAGGATATAATATGTAAAAAAACAAAGCTACTTCCAAAAATCAAATAAATGGATATATAAGCAAAAATCAAATAAGCCTTGCAGAATACCATCCATAGTAAAAGCAAAGTAGTTATTGAATTCTTGAATGAAAATACTTTTAGCCGTTGTATAACTTTCAACTTTATTAATTTACTTAGCTCTGTTAGGAAATTTCAGTAAATTGTGGTAGGTGTAATAATCTTTATTGGCCAGCAGGTATCACAGTTGAAGCCACATGGTGGAGAGATGCGACCAGCCATAGAGAGATGGGTGTGACCAGCTGTGGCGTAAATAGTCCCAGTTTGGTTCCTGCTTAAATACTGATAAATATGCTTTTCTTGGCATGTTAAGAGCAGTTATTAATGGCAATTAAAGCAATTCTATATACAAAGAGTGTTTTTTTGTTTTTTGTGGTTTTTTTGGTGGCCAGAATATCAAGAAATCCAAAACTTGCTGTCAGTCACAAGCTGCAAATGGGTTGCGTGCAGCCGGCCAACATGACATCACAGAGATCACAGTGGGAAAAAACTCAGGAAGCTGAAGAGGGTGCCGCAGTATGCTGTGGGTGGGAGGCAGTTACAGGAAACTACTTCTGGAAAGTGCAGGCTGGTGGCATCCATGTTGGGGATGTAGGAGAATGTGAGTAGACTAATCCCATACTAGCTCAGAAGTAAATATAATAAAAAGTTCTTTACTTAAGGGGGACTCACAGATTACAGTCCTCTTCACAAATAGGAAACAGGAATTGAATCCAGCATCTAGGCAAGAGAGGAGAGAGGGGTGTGTGCTCACACTTTTTTGATACAAAAGGCCATGCCAAACCTGGTCCAGACTTTCAAAGGCCATTAGCTGAAGGAAGTTTCCCAGCATTGGGGCAACTGAACTAACAGCGCTCTCACTTGTGCTGTAAAGACATTTGATACATTGTATTCACTATCATTAAGGAGGATTATGGTTATCCTATCAGCAAGGATCACCTCCAAAGCTTCTGTGAGCCTGAATAGCCTATACTTACGCTGACTGGCCCTCTCAGGGTGCTTTTGATTCTCAGTGAGCCTGTGAAGTGAGAAATGGCAACCTCAGTCAGCCCAGCCACCTGAACTATGAGAAATAGCCCAGAAGGTGTTTGACGTGAGGAGAGTGAACAAAAGGATATAATCTATTTATCCAACTGTTCCAAATGCCTACAGTTTATTCCGCTTGTTACCACTAAATCAAAAAGATTACACTGTATTTAGCTTAAAAGATGCATTCTTCTCCATCCCTCTGTCTGCATTAACACAAGTATGAACTGTGCATTGTACGCAAACCAGCCAAAGATGATTTTTTTTCTGTTTTAGTTTGATCAGGTGAAATACACGTCACCTCTCTTGCAGATTCTCTAGGTTTATTTATGTCTGTAGCCAGGATTTTCAGGGGTTCATCCATGATCAAACCTGATCACTCTCAGTCTTGAAAGAATCCACAGCATTCATTTTATATGGAAACAAAAGCATAACCTCTTCCACAAAGCAATGCATTTTCTGACTTCCATTTTAAAGTTAAGGCATTCCTAAAGTATCTAGACTGATTTAATTCATCAACCTCTCTTATAATTCCATGTCTCTCAGCACCTGCCATTGTTCATCAGTAATCTAAAAATTCAAAGTCAATTAAGACACCATATAGAATCTACACTATCTGTGTATTTTCTATCTTTACATGGCTTATCCTTTTTGTATTACTTTATTCTCTCTTTAAAGAATTTATCTTATTCTTTTCCAATTCAAATTCCCTTGATCTCCTTATGCTGTCTTATTGTTATTGCTAGAACTTCAAGCACTATATTGAAGAGATATGGAGAGAGTGGACAGCCTTGTCTTATTCCTGATTTTAGTGGACTAGCTTTGAGTTTCTCTCCATTAAATTAGATGTTAGTTGTCAGCTTGCTGTATATTGCTTTTATTATATTTAGATATGATCCTTGTATCCCTAATCTCTTGAATACCTTTATCAAAATATTTATCTTAATATTTATAAACTATTTTTATGAATGTCTATAACCATTTTCTTTTCTTTTTTAAACCTATGCACATTTTAAAACATATTTTGCCTTTTTAGAGGTTTTATCTTTCTGAACCTGACTTTTCTAAGAAACTGCAGCATTCTCTGACCATGTGAGACAAATCTTAAACTGCCATGCCAGGTACTGGCATGGTTCAACTTAGCAAATGGAACTGGCAGATGAGGCTGGCAGCTGGTTCCAGTTCACTGTCAAGTGACCAGCACCTCTTCATGCTGAGAAATGACTTCTTTGAGAAATTTCAGTGCTGTGGGAACTCCTTAAGCCAACAACCTTTCAGATACCAGCCCATTTGTGTGCAGAGTCTTATACTATGAATGCAGAAGTGAAGCTTGTGCATTCTCTCTCTCTCTCTCTCTCTCTCTCTCTCTCTCTCTCTGTCTCTCTCTCTCTCTCTGTCTCTCTCTCTCTCTGTCTCTCTGTCTCCAAAACCTTACTGCAACAGAGCTACCCCTTTGGTAGGCCTGCCACACAGTGATTTGGCGATTTCCAAGGCTCATGAACACATTCCCCATACTGCTTTCTCTGACATGTGGTGACGTGCACAGCTTCCAGTTTGGGTTCCTGGGTCATGGGCTATAGATTCCTAGAGAGTCTGGACACAAAAAACTCTGTGTACAGCATCAATTTAATTGCTCTTAATTTGTCAAGTGATGTGGGATTCCCCTCTGTATGTTGTGAATACCATTGGTTAATAAAGAAACTGTCTTGCCCTGTCTAGGCTTTTTGCCTATAGGGCAAAAGCGTAGAGCTAGGCAGGGAAAACTAAACTGAATTTTGGGAGAAGAAAGGCAGAGTTTAGAGATGCCACGTAGGTGCCAGAGGGGAAAGATGTATCCACCATCTGGAAACTTGCCAGTAGGCCATGAGCCTCATGATAAAATATAAAATAATACAAATGGGTTAATTTATTATGTAAGAGCTTTGCTAGGAATATGCTATAGTCATTGGTCAAGCAGTTATTTAATTAATAGAGTTTCTGTGTGGTTATTTCAGGAGTCTGAGTGGCCGGGGAATGAACAGGCAGCCTCCTACTACAGTCAAGCAAAGCATATTTGTCAGCATTTAAAGACCCCAATGCAGAATGGAGTAGGACTGTCATGCAACCACTGGTCATGTCTCTCCACTACGTGGGTGCAACCATGACACCTGCTGACCAATAAAGATTATTACACCTACAATTTACTGAACTCTCATAATGGAAGTAACCTTATTTGATTAATAAATAAATAAATAGATTTGAAAGTTATATAATTGCAGAAAATATCACATCCAGGAATTTAATAACCTTTTTGCTTATACTATGGATGGTATTTGGCAAGGCTTATATGATTTTGCAGACACATCCATTCATTTGATATAGGACTTAGCTTTGTTTTTCATATTATATCCCTGAGAAAATGGTCTAATAACAGAGCCAAGAATTATTATACCTACAACAATTTTCTGAAAACCATAATGGAGGTAAGTTAATTTGTTAGCTAAATATTAGATTGATTAGTTAATAAATAAATATCCATGAGGATAACTATATGATTTTCTTTGGGTTTACCTTCTTATTTAGCTTCTCTAGGATCACGAATTACAGGCTCAATGTCCTTTAATTATGGCTAGAACCCATTTATGAGTGAGTACATACCATATTCATCTTTTTGGGTCTGGGTTACCTCATTCAGTAAAGAGTTTTCTATTTCCAACCATTTGCATGCAAAATTCAAGATGTCATTGTTTTACTGCTGAGTAAAACTCTAAAGTGTATATGTTCCACACTTTCTTTAACCATTCTTCTATTGAGGGGCACCTAGGTTGTTTCCAGGTTCTGGCTATTACAAATAGTGCTGCTATAAACATAGTTGAACAAATGCTTTTGTAGTATGATTTGGCAACTCTTGGGTATAATCCCAAGAGTGAAATTTCTGGGTCCTGAGGGAGGTTGACTCCCAGTTTCCTGAGAAACCGCCACACTGATTTCCACAGTGGCTGCATAAGTTTGCATTCCCACCAATAATGGATGAGTGTTCTCCTCACTCCACATCCTCTCCAGCATAGGCTATCATTGGTGTTTTTGAGTTTAGCTATTCTGACAGGTGTAAGATGGTATCTCAAAGTTGTTTTGATTTGCATTTCCCTGATCGCTAAGGAGGTTGAGCATGACCTTAAGTGTCTTTTGGCCATTTGAATTTCATCTGTTGAGAAATCTCTGTTCAGTTCAGTACCCCATTTTTTAATTGGGTTAATTAGAGTTTTAGTGTCTAGTTTCTTGAGTTCTTTATATATTTTGGAGATCAGACCTTTGTCTGATGCGGGGTTGGTGAAGATCTCCCAACCAGTAGGTTGCCTTTTTGTCTTAATGACTGTGTCTTTTGCTTTACAGAAGTTTCTCAGTTTCAGGAGGTCCCATATATTCATTGTTGTTCTTATTGTCTGTGCTACTGGGGTTCTACCTAGGAAGTGGTCTCCTGTGCCTATGTCTTGTAGACTACTTCCCACACTTTCTCTTCTATCAGGTTCAATATGGTCAGATTAATATTGAGGTCTTGAGTGCATGGGGGTGGGTGGTGGGGTGGGTGTAAGGGGAGATGGGTAGAGAGAAGGGAGAAGGGGAAGATTGCGGAGAGCTTAGGGGAATAGGATGGGTGGGATGGAGGAAGGGTAGATATGGGAGCAGGGAAGTAAATATCTTAATTAAGGGAGCCATTTTAGGATTTGCAAGAGACTTGACTCTAGAGGGGTTCCCAGGTCCACGTAGATATCCCCAGCTTGTTCCTTGGGCAGCAGAGGATAGGGTGCTTGAACTGGCCTTGTCCCATAGTCACACTGATGAATATCTTGCATAGCACCATAGAACCTTCATCTGGCGATGGATGGAGATAGAAACAGAGACCCACATTGGAGCACTGGACTGAGCTCCCAAGGTTCAAATGAGGACCAGAAGGAGGGAAAACATGAGCAAGGAAGTCAGGACCATGAGGGGTGCATCCACTCACTGAGATGGTGGGACTTATCTAATGGGAGCTCACCAAGGCCAGCTGGACTGAGAGTGATGGAGCATGAGATCAAACTGGACTCTCTGAATGTGGCTGTCAATGATGGCTGACTGAGAAGCCAAGGACAATGACACTGGGTTTTGATTCTACTGCATGGACTGGCTTTGTGGAAGCCTGTATTGTTTGGATGCTCACCTTCAAAGACTTGGATGGAGCGGTGAGGACCTTGGACTTCCCACTGGGCAGGGAACCCTTACTGCTCTTAGGGCTGGAGAGGGAGGGATAGGAGAGGAGGAGAGGCAGAGGTGGAAATTTTTAATAAATAAATAAATAAATAAATAAATTTGAAAATTGTAAACCAACCACAAAATAACTGCAGACAACATCACCATCTAAAATTTAACAACCTTTTTGTTTCTACTACAGATGCATTTCTGCAAGAGTTATATTACCTACCTGGTACATATATTTCTTTGGCTACAGTGGTGATTAATTTTGTTCTTCATTTTTATATCCTTAAAGAAGTGGTTTGATAACACAGTCAAGAATAGGAAATTTGAGAAATGACACAGTCTTTATAGACAGGTTTTGAAGGCATGAAGGGGTCATGGAGAGCAGCTGAGGTTTGGTACTATGAGAGGCCAAGAAAGGTCATTTGGTGAAGGTGCAGCCTCAGTGGCAATTGAAGGTGCAGGACTGAAGGGGTCATGCAAAGAAGTTGAGACTTGCCACTTTGAAAATAGCATGAGAGGCTATTTGTGAAAGAAGAACCCAGTTGTAGAAAATGACCCCAACATTTTGAAAATTCTGGTACCACAGGATGGCCACCAGGAAGAGAGCAGCTGTGGAGTGGAGCCAGCCAGAGCCTAGAAGACCAGCTGTGTGCGCTGCAGAGGGCAGAGGGAGAAAAGTGACCTAAGTCCTTTGCAAGAATCCAGAAAATTGTGAGTGGATCCCAGATAATTGGATGGTTGAAATTTTGTTCTGCTTTGACTTGATTGTGCCTGTGCCCTGATATTTCCCTCTTTATGTAAGAAAGTATTTTACTGGAGCCCACAGTTGAGAGACTTGACTTTTAAAAAACTGTATTTGCAAGGAAATTGGCTATTTTAAAGGAACTGATATTTTAATGTGTTTGAATTTGTAAAGATTGTGGAACTTTTAATGTTTTTAAGATCTTGTGGATGAATAAGAAAGGAAGTGTTGTAGCTTAACAGAAGTTGACAAGGAGTCAGTTGTACTGACTGGTTTTGTGTGTCAACTTGATACAAGCTGGAGGCATCAGGGGAAATCAGCTAAGGAAATGTCTCCTTGAGATTCAGCTCTAAGTCATTTTTCTCATTTAGTGATCAGTGAAGGAGGGCCCAACCCATTGTGAGTGGTGCCATCCCGGGGATGCTGGTCCTAGGTTTTATAAGACGTTGGGTTGAGCAATAATGGGAAGCAAGTCAATAAATAACTGCCTCCATGGCTTCTACATCAGCTCCTTCTCTGGGAATCTGTCCTATTTGAGTTCCTGTCCTAACTTCTTTCAATGGTAAACAGCAATGCTGAAGTGTAAGCCAAATAAACTCTTTCCTCCCCAACTTGCTTTTGATCATGGTGTTTCATTGCAGCAAGAGAAACCCTCAGACAGCCCTCTTGTTTAAGAGCCATCGTAGCCACTGCCATTCTTGTAAAAAGAAACTGACAA